AAAAAAAAAAAAAATAAGATTCATTTGTAATTTACTTTTACTTTGAAAGATAAGAAATCACATAAGAGGTCATATTTCATTTTGATTTAGTCATTTATGTTAGTCCAAAGTAAAACTTTGATAATACTACGATTGAGAATGCAGTTTGTGTACACAACACACTAACACAAATATATATATGTATATATATATATACATGATATCGATCGAAGGAAAATTTTTATTTTCTAACAAAAGATATCAAAGTATTTCTGTCAGTTGTTTTTTATTTTCTTTTTTTATTGACGATAAATATTCTGTTGTGCTTTTAGTGATCTGGAGACGTAAAATTTGGACTTATATCAATTAATATTAAATTAAATTTTAAATCAACATGGAACAAGGTGGAATCTCGATAATATCACCTCCAGGTATTACGGAAAATTCCGTTGGAAAATCAACGAAAAATATTGGACTGGCATTGAGATCAAACGCTGGTATCAGAAATGCTAAGGAAAAGCTCAAAGCACCATGTGAGTTCAATTATATTCAATTATTATCGAATATTAATTAAGTTATTTACGATAGTAATCAGTTAAATGCATTTGACGTACATACTCGTTGTACCAAATCTCTATTGAGATGTGTTTGACGTGTATACTCGTCGTGCAATTTGAAAAACAATTATCACTTACTATAATATAACTCAAAATTTCAATAAAATTTCATTAAAATATTCTATGGGGGTAACATACCATACATAAATTGATTGACAATTTTTTTATAATTATTTTCAACGTGCTATTTATCGCGGTGCATTTTGACGTGTATACTCGTCGTGCAATTTGAAAAACAATTACCCCTTACTATAATATAACTCAAAATTTCATAAAAATATTCTATGGGGGTAACATACTATACATAAATTGATTGACAATTTTTTTATAATTATTTTCGACCTGCTATTTATCGCGGTGCATTTTGACGTGTATACTCGTCGTGCAATTTGAAAACAATTATCATTTACTATAATATAACTCAAAATTTCAATAAAATTTCATTAAAATATTCTATGGGGGTAACATACTATACATAAATTGATTGACAATTTTTTTATAATTATTTTCAACGTGCTATTTATCGCGGTGCATTTTGACGTGTATACTCGTCGTGCAATTTGAAAAACAATTATCACTTACTATGATATAACTCAAAATTTCAATAAAATTTCATAAAAATATTCTATGGGGGTAACATACCATACATAAATTGATTGACAATTTTTCAAAATTATTTTCTAATTTTTTTAATTTTTTTTTTAATTAATTTTTCTTATCTTTAATTTGCATTGTTTTTATATGTTTTATTATTTTTTGTTGATTATTTACAAACTTTTAGTAAAAATAACGTAATTCAGAAACGAATTGTTAGTTTTTTTTTTTTTTTTTATGACAAATAAAAATATAATCCTTAATTGTTTTTCGTAAAATATTTAATAGGATTATTTGCTGTACGTTCGACGTGTATGCACGTCGTTGATTATTTTTAATTCCACACCTTGTGAGAATTCAAAAGATTGAAACTTAATTCCACAGTAAACTGTATAATAGTATTAGTTTCATATACTTTAGCAATTATTATCGAATTAATAGTAAATTAATACAAAACACACATACACACACACACACACACACACAACTGTAAATAAATTAAATCGAAACTTTCGCGAGAGATCATAACACACGCAAACTTGTTATTAAATATAATTTTTCTAACCACTCAGTTGATTCATTTAAATGGCACCACTATTGTGAAAATTTTTTCTCTTTTTTTTTTTTACATATTTCGATAAACTATACATTTAAAAATAACATAATCCAATTTCAAGTAAACATCTCAAATAATTTTTGAGATACAGTCATCTAATATGTCTTCATTTACAACGATTCAAATCACTAACTTAAACTGTAAAACGCATTTTTCTCAAAACTATTAGGTGAACCGGAAAGTAATGTCGCTTTTTAATCTCAAAATTCGAACGAGTAAATTTTTGCAAACAAAAACGTTTTTATTATTAATCAATCATTATAATTATTTATATTAAATTAATTAATCACGTTGTGTCAACTAAACCTTTTTCTATCTGGTATGCAAATTTTTTTAAATATCGTAACGATAAAAATCATCAATCGGTTTTTTTTTTTTTGATTGAAATATTAATATCAAAATTTGACGTGCGTAGTAACGACATTACTTTTCGGCCCTCCTAAATACATTTTCCAAAATTTGCTGCAGTTACAACTCGAAGACAAATCATCCGATCGATTTGATTCTTGTTGCAACTTCTTTTATATATATTTCTGCAAACCATGAAACCGTCCAGTTTTTCGATCGAATGAAAAAATGTAATTTTGACAGGGCCCAAAAATCATCAAATTTTGGCGCGAAATTTGAAACGTTTTTTTTTCAAACTCCATCATTTTGTTCAATTTCAATTTTTGACCGAGGTTTATGGTACGGGAAATTGCTTCTAATTTAATCAACTTTTTGGTCTTTTTGATTTTATGCACTGTAAAGGTCGCCATAACTGCAGCAGTGGGGGGGACTTGGAAGATTGCGAATAACTCGCTTAATTTTCAATTTTTTGATCCCAAAATTTAATCATCTATTCATTACATATCCACGAATGTCTTCTTAAAAAATGACAACATTCCATGCAGTAGTTCTCTTTAAAAAAAATTCCGAAAAACAACCTTTTTTTTTCAAGCTGTCACACTAGTAGTGCCATACATTAACACATACATACATATCATAAATTTCTTGTTTCTTTCTTTTTTTTTTTACTGCATGTCTGTGCGTCAACGATTATTCGAAATCTCATCAAACTACTTAGGCACGTTTTGATTCTTACATAACAGGTGAATTTCTGGCAAATGGCCATCAAGTTTATCTCGTAAATCTGTAAAACAAGACAAGTAATAGCAATAGTAGTAGTAGTAGTAGTAGTAGTAGTAGTAGTAGTAGTAGTAGTGGTGGTATCGTCGTTCGACCATATTTCATTTTCTTCCTCGTTGATTTCTCAAGGAGGAAAGGAAAGAAAGTATTATAGGATAGAAAGGAGACGTCTCTTACTGTCGGTTGCATTCTAAACGATGTTCCACAACTCCGACGGACTGAAAATTAGGTTACAACAAAATTCGATTGATATTCGCCGTTTTCTCTTTAAACGAGCTAGAAAAGAAAAGAAAAGAAAAGAAAAGAAGAAAAGAAAGAGAAAAAGAAAGAAAAAACACAACGAGAGAAGGTTGTTGATGCATTAAATATCAACCAGGAGGTTTGGGTACAGAAAAAAAGAACCTTTTTCTTCTTATTCTTATTCTTTTCAAATATTGTAGTAAATAATAATATTCGAGGGGTAATAGATTGCATAGAAATATGAGACGAAAGGAAAATTCAAATTCAATGAAAAGTAATAAAAAAAAAAAAAAAAATATTCACGCTCAACAAATTAGATATTGACCGTAAAAATAATAATCGATTTAACGAGATAACTCGTGCGTAGTTATTACTGTTACGTAAAAAAAAAAAATTGCAAACTTAAATCATGCCTAAGAGATTATATTTTTTGTTTATATTTTACAATAATTTCATACGGTAGAGAAAATCCTATTAAATCTTTCACGGCTTCTTTTTTTTTCCAAACAAATTATTTTTTATTTACATTAATTAATTAATTATTTATATATATATATATATTGTATGTATTAAATTATTATATTATAATAATAATTTAATATAGTAATACTTACACTATAATATAATAATATAGTAATAATATTATGTATATTAATATAATATAATTAATATATATATTTATTAATAAAATAATTTAATATAGTAGTACTCTTATAATATAATATATTAATTATATATTATTATTATATATTATATATTATATATTAAT